GGACTGATTACCTCTTCTTCTACTGTCTCTGTATAATTCTATAAGGTGTGGGACTGATTACCTCTTCTTTCCTGGCTTCTGTATAATGCTATAAGGTTGAGGGACTGATTACCTCTTCTTCTACTGTTTCTGTATAATTCTATATGGTTTTGAGGGACTGATTACTCCTCTTCTACTGTCTTCTGTATATTATATAAGGTTGAGGGATGATTACCTCCTCTTTACAGTCTTCTGTATAATTTCTATAGGTTGATGGGACTGATTACCTCCTCTTTACTGTCTTCTGTATATTTCTATAAGGTTGAGGGGGACTTGATTACCTCATATTCTACTGTCTTCTGTTAATTTCTATAAGGTTGAGGGATGTTTACCTCCTCTTCTACTGTCTTCTGTATAATTCTATTAAGGTTGAGGGACTGATATTACCTCTTCTTTCTACTGTCTTCTGTATATTTCTATAAGGTGAGGACTGATTTACCTCCTCTTCTATGTCTTCTGTATAATTCTATAAGGTTGAGGGACTGTTTACCTCTCTTCTACTGTCTTCTGTATAATTCTATAAGGTTGAGGGACTGATTACCTCCTCTTCTACTGTCTTCTGATATAATCTATAAGATTGAGTGGACCTGATTACCTCCTCTTCTACATGTCTTCCTGCATTTAATCAGTGATGTCTGAAGAATTACCTGTCTTCCACTGTCTTCTGTATATAATTTGAGGCTGAGGAACTGATTACCTCTTTAACAGTCTTTGTTTACATTCTTGTGTTATTGTATTCATAAAGCCACTTCATGAATGTAACTTCTACAAAGCAAAGTATCCAGTTGTCGCCACATGTCTACATTCATCAAACTGAGTTGCGACAGTAAGCACGAGGTTTTTAATTCATATTTCACTTAACTGCTTTAGTATCATATTGCATCTACAGAACACTGTACAACACGGATGTCGTCCAATCCACCAAAGTTGTAGATGAAGAGTCTATGACACACCCAATAAAATTGTCGTCGAGGTTGCGGACACAAACTGAAACCGTATGTAATATAGTGTAATGTATTGATAATATACTAAATTAAAAAAGGGAAACCAAATAACCCGCACATAAAAGACAGAAGCTACGACGACGTTTCGGTCCGGACTTGGACCATATTGACAAAGTCACACTAACAGTGAAGGGCCAGGACGGGGCTATTATAGGCAGGAAGAGGTGGAGGCAGTAGTAGTGGTAGTAGTAGTAGTAGTAGTAGTACAAAGAATTGTATATAATACGACAGGATGAATTGACACACCGCCACAACACCCGGGCATCCCACCGTAGACGCCTGCCATCAGCCAGCCACTGGAAGGCGAAACGTCCTCCAACAAAGGACAACCAGACGCGCACATGTGGTCTAATTTCATCAGTAGTTGTGACTTTGTCAATGGTTCTCCAAGTTGGCCGATACGTCGTCGTAAGCTTCTGTCTTTTATGTGGGGTTATTTGAGTATCGTTCCGTCACGGTAATTGTGCCTTTTTGTTAATTTTAAAAAGAAAAACCTTTTGTTTTTCTTTTTTAGCGCCTCCTCCCCCCCCTGCACACCCGGGTGGGATACCTGGGCATTACCTGCGGAGAGGAGTTCACGGTGGGTCAATGTCCCTACGGGCCCGGTCTGTGACCAGGCCTCCCTGAGTGGATCGAGCCTGATCAACCAGGCTTGTACTGCTGGCTGCATGCAAACCAACACACGAGCCCACAGCCCGGGCTGGTCAGGGAACCGACTCTAGGTGCTTGTACAGTGCCAGCTTGTAAAGACTGCCAGGGGTCTGTTGGTACTTCCCCCTTATGTATGTGGGTGTCAGGTGAACAGTCTCGGGCCCCTGACACTTACTGTATGGCCAGCGTGTAGTGAAAAAAAACTTAAGAGGGGAAGGAGCCAAAGGTATTGGCAGAGAGCATACATAGTTTCCTTGTACCAAAGGAAAAAGGAGTCAAGGGAGATTGTAAGAATAAGAATTATTGAGGGTTTTGTGGTAAAAGGGAGTTAGACATCTAGCAGGCGTGTGTAAGGGTGTTAGAAACAGGACAAGTGGAGTTGTGAAGGGATTCAGGGAAATACGCGTTAAACTGGACTTGAGTCTGGAGATTTGAAAGGCACAGTCCCTGCACTCTGAGAAGGGATGAGCTTATTCTGCACAGTCTTGTTCATCTAACTCCCTGTAGCGCAGTATATATATGCCTCTGGCAAGACAGTGCTAGAGTAATGATGGTGTGAAACTGTTTCGTTTTTTTTTGGTCACCCCACCTTGGTGGGAATTGTCCAGTTATATTTATTACTAATATATCTATATAATATATATATATTAATATATATTTATTTAATATATATATATATATTATATTTCTTATAATATAGTTTTATATTATACAATATGTCGTGCCGAATAGGCAGAACTTCCGAATCTGGCTTAAAATAGCAACGCTCATCTTGCCATAAAGGTCAGTGAAAAATTTGTGTATGCAATAATTCGCCAAAATCATTCTGACACTACGAAAAAAATTATATTTTGATGTGTTTGTTTAGTACTAAATTATTGTAAATGTATTTAAAATATATTTAGTTGGGTTGTTAGGCTAAATAAGTTGCTCTTGTTTAATAAGGTTAGGTAAGTTTTCTAAGATTCTTTTGGTGCAAAATTAAATTTTTTACATTACGTTAATGAAAGAAAATATATATTTTAAACGTATAAGAAAAATTTCACTAAGGACTTAATTTTAAATGAGTTCTTGGTAACTGACCTGCTTTCATAATTCGGCACGAAATATATATATATATATATATATATTTATATTTATATATATATATAATAGATATATATTATATACATATATATTGTATTATATATTGGTAGTAGGTGGTGGTAGACAGACCACACCAGGGATGTTACTACCGTCCTGCCAAGTGAGTGTTTACCTGTGAGTTTACCTGGTGAGAGTTCCGGGGTCAACGCCCCCGCAGGCCCGGTCTGTGACACAGGCCCTCCAGGGTATCAGAGCATGATCAACCAGGCTGTTAATGTGGTTGCTAGCAAACCAACGTACGAGCCACAGGCCGGGGCTGGTCTGGTTACGACTTTAGGTGCTTGTTCGTGCCAGCTTGGAAGTCTGCCAGGGGTCTGTTGGTAATCCCCCAGTATGCTGGGAGGCAAGTTGAACAGTCTCGGGCCCTGACAATTATTGATGGTCTCCTTTAACGTGCGAGTGACACCCTGCTTTTCATTGGGGGGATGTTGCCAATCGTCTGCCAAAGTCTTTTGCTTTCCATAGTGAGTGATTTTCGTGTGCAAGTTCGGTACTATTAGTCCCTCGAGGGATTTTTCAGGTTGTAATAAATCATGTATCTCTCCCGCCTGCGTTCCACGGAATTACAGGTTCAGGAACTCAGCAGCTACCCAGTAATTGAGGAGTTTTATCCTCGTTATGCTCGCCCCGTGAAGGTTCTCTGTAATTTTCTAGGTCAGCTATTCTCACCTCGCCTTGAAAGGTGCTGTTAGTGGTTTTTTACAACGAAAGCCTGTAATTGTTTACATGATGGGAGGAGTGCTGGTGTCTATTTGTCTGTCTCATAAAATGCAAGATTGGTATGTCTTGCCTACTTCTACTTGCATTTAGGTCACACTACACATACATGTACAAGTCATTATATATATTACAACACATCCCCTTGGGGTTTCTTTGTTTTCTTTCTAGTTCTTGTTTGATTATTTCCTCTTCCTCCATGGGAAAGTGGAACAGAATTCTTACCTCTGTAAGCCATGCGTTGTTGTAAGGCGGCTAAATGCGGGAGCAAGGGTGCTAGTAAACCCTTCTCTGTATTATTTATATTTTATTATCACACTGGCCGATTCCAAAACAAGGCGGGTGGCCCGAAAAAAAGAAAAACTTTCACCAACATTCACTCCATCACTGTGTTTGCAGAAGGGTGCTTTCACTTCAGTTTTTTTAAAAATACTGCAACCTTAACACACCTCCTTCAAGAGTGCAGGACACTGTACTTCCCATCTCAATGGACTCAAGTCCGGCCTGCCGGTTTCCCTGAACCCCTTCATAAATGTTACTTTGTCACACTCCAGCAGCACGTCAAGTTTAACAACCATTGTCTCCATTCACTCCTATCAAACACGCTCCACGCATGCATGCTGGAGTCCAAGCCCCCTCGCACACAAAACCTCCTTTTTACCCCCCCCTCCAAACTTTCCTAGGCCGACCCCTACCCGCCTCTTCCACTACGACTGATACACTCTTGTAGTCACTCTTTCTAGCTCCATTCTCTGCTACATGACCGAACCACCTCAACAACCCTTTCCTAGCCCTGCTGGACAAACAGGTTTTGGTAATCCCGCACCTTCCTAACTTCCAAAACTACGAAAATTCACTCTGATTTTCTTCACACCACACATTGCCTCAGACATGAGGTTTAAATGCTATAACATTTGATGGACTGTCAAAGATCATGCTACCTTATCAAATCAGGGAACAGGTGGAATTTGAACCCATGGCAAGTGGGCATTAAAACTCACAGGACAGTGCGTTAACTCACTTGCCATGAGTTCGAACCCTACTTGTTCCCTGGTTTGTTTGCAATTGTGTTATTATGATTCGTGAGTCGTGTTACTCTTATGTACAGTCATCTTTCTTTTAGAGCTCCTCTATGTAATGTAATTTAGCATGATGCAACTGAAAAAATACATTAAAATTTAATTACACTTGAAAAGGTCCTGATACTATGTACAGTGATACCTCTCATATCTGATCTATATAGGCCAAGACCGGTTCGGAAACATGGAGTTTCCAGATACATGAGGGGGAAAAAATGCCCATCCGTACCCTCATATTGCCATCCATACCCCATCATATCACCATTGGCGATGGCGTTGTAGGTTTAAAAAACAAGCCCATCGTTGTCTGGCGGTGGGCCCAGACACTCTAGGCTCGAATAACAGCCTCCCAGATTTCACAGACCACAGGACCATAACTTTTCAAATGATGCTCCAAATGGATGCTCCAAATACTCCAAAAGTGTTTCGACACCTGGCCTTGCTGCTAAAGTTGTTGGTCTTGGAGGCATTGGGTCATCGTCATCACTTTCGGAATGTTCCAGGTGCAACATTGATTCTGCAATCTCTGCATCCATCTGAGACTGCACTCCAGGGTCGTCTTCATCACACTCTAGCCAGTCCTGCATGTCGTCTGTAGTTTTTTCCCAGCCTTGGACCAACCTGCATCTACGTTTACCTGGAGTTTACCTGGAGAGAGTTCCGGGGGTCAACGTCCCCGCGGCCCGGTCTGTGACCAGGCCTCCTGGTGGATCAGAGCCTGATCAACCAGGCTGTTACTGCTGGCTGCACGCAAACCAACGTATGAGCCACAGCCCGGTTGGTCAGGAACCGACTTTAAGTGCTTGTCCAGTGCCAGCTTGAAGACTGCCAGGGGTCTGTTGGTAATCCCCCTTACGTAAGCTGGGAGGCAGTTGAACAGTCTCGGGCCCCTGACACTTATTGTATGGTCTCTTAACGTGCTGACAATATTTCCCTCTTTTTTTTCTAGAGTAAGCACATTCCTGGCCCTCTTTGGTGCTATACACAAGATAGCTAGGACAAAACACAGCTGTAATAATGCTAAAAGGAAGGCGAAGAGTGCAGCTCCAAGCGGCCATTTGGTGCACTCAAGTGCGAGCCAAGTTTGATTCAGCCTTCTGCCGTATCCGAAAAGCTGTTTGGATGTTTTGGTAACAATTTCAGAATTTTGCCCTTTCCCAGGGCCTGTCTGGATATTGGCAAGGTTCAGATAATGGCAGGCCGGATATGCAAGGTATCACTGTACTATTCAGTTTTGATGCTCTTTTTACAACCACATTCACAAAAAAATCACACTATATATAGAAACCTTATAAGAGATTTTACTGTACTATATACAGTAGAACCCTGTTACTCCATTACAAAAAATGCACTAAAAGAGGAGCCTTTAAGAGAGTTGACTGAAGTGAATTTTTAAGATAAGGTTTCTAAGATTATCACTGCATTCTGCAAAGTAGTATTCTACAGTTTTTTTTTCTTAACACATAGGCCATTTCCCACTGAGGCAGGGTGACCTGAAGAAGAAGAGACACTTTCATCATCATTCACTCCATCACTTTCTTGCCAGAGGTGTACTGACACTGCAGTTCAAAACTTACAAATATTCTTTCATTATTATTAAATTTTGGAGATCTTGGTAACAAGCTAATGGTACATATATGCTAAGTCTCGATTAATGTGAATAACAGATCTTGCAAAGTGGCCACATTATATTCGAATTCGCACAATTAGAATTATGTGTAATTTTTGCACGATTTGAAGAGTTCGAGAAAAACTAGTATTAATTAACTTCACACTAAATTGAAATTTGCACTAATCGAAGTCGCACTAATCAAGACCTGGCTGTATACACACTATAACTACCTCTCTTGTTGAGGATTTTTTCTGAAACTGTCATTCTATGTCGCAAATTTTTTGGAAAAAAAAAAAAAAAAAATCTTATGAAATGATAGAGAATGTTTTTCCGATGGTAATGACACCAAAAGTTCGAAATTTGGTCGAAAACTCACGGAATTACGCTCCCGCGAAGTTAGCAGTCTCGGCGACATATACGCATCGGCGATTTCGCAGACTTTGAGCCCTGTTTTTGGCCAATTCTGTTGTTCCAGTTGACCAAACTCATAGCTATTTCTTTAGAACTCTATTTTTTCTATCAGTTGAGTACAAGAAACCGCCCATTTACCGATTTGAACTACCCAATAAAGTGGTCAGAAATTGGCAATTTGACCAATTTCACGCAAATTAAAAAAGATGCCAATTTCAAAATAGGGTCCAGAATAAACAAGACAGACATTCTTGGCATTAAAATAACATATCCTCTGTTCATTAGTCACATCTCTAGGCCCCTCTTATATTACTATTGCTTTCTATTTTTATTTTTTTATTCATACAAAAAATACAAAATTTACTGTTATGCAGACTACTGCATTATTGTAAAAATGGTATAAATAATATCAGTGCACTAGTGAAAGAATATCAGACTCCCCAGTTGATGTGTCTTGGACGTATGGTGTGATTTATTACTCTTGAATATTGGTAAAAGTCAAACATTTCCGCTACTTTGAGCTCAATTTCGAGGTAATTTTCATCATGAAACTAATCAAAATCATCTCTATTTCTGTAATATGTTTTCCATTTTATTATGTGGGGCCATGAAAACGAAATACAACAATAAATACTATACAAAAATACACCTCAAAATCGATGTTTTAATCCAAAAAAACGGTCAGTTTTTTTTTTCTCATTATACACTGCATGCTGCAGGATTTTTTTTATGTGGTGCACACTGACCACACAGACCCATTCTTTCATATGTGGGCCTACCAGCGTTCTCCCGCTTGATTTGAAGCTGCTAGAATTTATGCGTATTAATACGTCCGAAACACTGGCTCGTAAGACATATATATACGACCAAAACAGTCAAAGGGTTAACAGAAGAAAGTTAGTTCCTCAGGGCAGTTTGAAGCGTTTTCTGACATGCCTCAATTTTTAGCTAAAATATGCATATAAATCATTGTAAAAACAGTTAAGGTTGGTTGCTTGAAATAAAATGTTATGATCTAGCTATTTTTTCTCGTAAAATGCAACTGCAGCAGCAATTTCGATTAAAAGTGTAATATGTATTTTAGCTAAAAAATGAAGGATGTTACTCATGATCACTAAGAAATAAAACTTTCTCGCCTCTATATCATAACTCTCACCTGAATCCAGCTTACAAGTGCCTCCCAAACAGCCCATTCTCCACCTGGTCCTGAGTACAGGGATGGGTGACTCATGTATTCTACCAACTCTGAAAATATTCAATTACATGTATAGCACTGTATACTTCAAGTGTCTTGGTACATCCTCACAATTTAACCATAAACAAACATTCTTTCATTATACTATTTCTTTATAAAGTGATACAAAATATGGGTTACATTAATAAAATATTGTTAAGCACAAAAGAACGCCACTAACACGAGGTGCATTTTGAGCAGACTAATTCTATTCTTACAGACTACTTAAGAACTAGACAGGTTTTTAAGTTTGCATTAATACTTAAATAATCCCTTCTGTATACATTACTAAATTTAAATAGAAAAACATTTGTTTTTCTTTTTAGTTTACCCTGCCTCAGTGGGATATGGATGGTTCGTTGAAAAAAAATCTTTAATGTATAAAAGTGAGGTAGCTAAGTGGACAATGGTACAATTTTAAGAATTCATTAATACAGAGAAGAGAGGTATCCTAAAAAAAAAAGTAGCACAATGTTAAGTATGAATCAATTCCTTAAATTGGTTCAGTGATCTTAAGCTAACTGGGATTTCTTGAGCAGTTTCAAAGGTAAGATACTGCCTGCATAGACACTCAGGAAAATATCTGAACTACTGGAAATGCCTCAAAGTACAGTGGACCCCCGCATAACGATTACCTCCGAATGTGACCAATTATGTAAGTGTATTTATGTAAGTGCGTTTGTACGTGTATGTTTGGGGGTATGAAATGGACTAATCTACTTCACAATATTTCTTATGGGAACAAATTCGGTCAGTACTGGCACCTGAACATACTTCTGGAGTGAAAAAATATCGTTAACCGGGGGTCCACTGTACTTAGATTATTTTCTCTGAGACAACAGGCTTCTTCAGTCAAATGCAGAGGGGCCTAAATATGGAGACAGTAGAAGTGGAGAGGAATAATATGATTAGTCCATCAGCCTTGAAGGGTCAAGACCTCTCATTGACATCACGACATTTCACCAAAATCTCACTAAGATATTTACTTTGCCTGATATGCATTGCATGCTAGTGGCTTTCTTTTGTGTCTAACAATGATTTATTATATTTTTTTATTTTTTATTGATACACTGGCCATTTTCCACTGAGGCAGGGTGACCCAAAAAAGAAGAAACACTTTCATCATCACTCTATCAGTCGTGACAGAGACACGCTTACACTACAGTTCAAAAACTGCATTTTTTTTTTTAACTCTTTCAGGGTCTCCAGGCCCTCTCCGAGACTTGTTCTCAGGGTCGCCAAATTTTCAAAAAAAAAAAATTATTTTTTCTTATGAAAAGATAGATAATCTTTTCCCAATCATAATGACACCAAAAATATGAAATTTGATGAAAAACTTACGGAATTATGCTCTCGCAAAGTTAGCGGTCTTGACAATGTTTACGCATCAGCGATTTTGCCCACTTTGAGCCCTATTTTCGGCCAATTCCAGTGTACTAGTCGACAAAAATCATAACTATTTTGCTAGAACTCCACTTTTTCTATCGAATGAGTACAAGAAACCACCCATTTACCGATTTCAACTATCCAATACAGTGGTCAGAATTTAGCAATTTTGCCAATTTCACACAAATTTCAAAAGATGCCAATTTCCAAATAGGGTCCAGAATAAACAAGAAAGGCATTCCTGGCACTAAAATAACATTTCCTCTGTTCATTAGTCACGTCCCCACGCCCCTCTTACATTCTTTTGCTTTCCACTTAGAATTTTTATTCTCACAAAAAATAGAAGATTTACTGTTATGCAGACTACTGCAGTAGTGTTGAAATGGTATAAATAATATTGGCACACTTGTGAAAGAATATTAGACTCACCAGTTGACGTGTATAGGACGCTTAGCATGATTTGTTTACTTTTGAACTCTGGTAAAAATCAAACATTTCTGCTATTTTGAGCTCAATTTCAAGGTACTTTTCATTGAAAAACCAGTCAAAATCATCTCAATTTCTGTAATATGTCTTCCATTCTATAAAATGAGACCAGGAGAACTAGAATACAACAATAAATACCATACGAAAATACAGTGCAAAGTCGCTGTTTTTTTTTTTCTCATTACGCACTGTGTGCTGCAGGATTTTTTTTATACTGCGCACACTGACCACATAGACTCATTCTTTCATATGTAGGCCTACCAGCTTTCTCTCACTAGATTTGAGGGCATTAGAATTTGGGCGTAATAGTACGTCAAAAACCCTGGTGCGTAAGACGTACTAGTACGGCCGAAACCCTGAAAGGGTTAAAAAGTCGGCCGTCTCCCACCGAGGCAAGGTGACCCAAAAAGAAAGAAAATCCCCAAAAAGAAAATACTTTCATCATCATTCAACACTTTCACCACACTCACACATTATCACTGTTTTTGCAGAGGTGCTCAGAACACAACAGTTTAGAAACATATACGTATAAAGATACACAACATATCCTTCCAAACTGCCAATATCCCAAACCCCTCCTTTAGAGTGCAGGCACTGTACTTTCCATTTCCAGGACTCAAGTCTGGCTATATAAAAATAACCGGTTTCCCTGAATCCCTTCAATAAATATTACCCTGCTCACACTCCAACAGCTCATCAGGTCTCAAATACCATTCGTCTCCATTCACTCCTATCTAACACACTCATGCACACTTGCTGGAAGTCCAAGCCCCTCACCCACAAAACCTCCTTTACCCCCCTCCCTCCAACCTTTTTGAGGACGACCCCCTACCCCGCCTTCCTTCCCCTACAGATTTATACGCTCTCCATGTCATTCTACTTCGATCCATTCTCTCTAAATGACCAAACCACCTCAACAACCCCTCTTCAGCCCTCTGACTAATACTTTTATTAATTCCACACATTCTCCTAATTTCCACACTCCGAATTTTCTGCATAATATTTACACCACACATTGCCCTTAGACAGGACATCTCCACTGCTTCCAACCGTCTCCTCGCTGCTGCATTTACCACCCAAGCTTCACACCCATATAAGAGTGTTGGTACTACTATACTTTCATACATTCCCTTCTTTGCCTCAATAGATAACGTTTTTTGTCTCCACATATACCTCAATGCACCACTTGTCTTTTTTCCTTCATCAATTCTATGATTAACCTCATCCTTCATAAATCCATCCACTGACACATCAACTCCCAAGTATCTGAAAACATTCACTTCTTCCATACTCCTCCTCCCCAATTTGACATCCAATTTTTCTTTATCTAAATCATTTGATGCCCTCATCACCTTACTCTTTTCTATGTTCACTTTCAACTTTCTACTTTTACACACACTGCAACATATACTATGTAAAATACATTATCTTTGTACTGCATAAAAAGAAACAATTTGAATTTGAATTTTGAATGATGGTTCGATCTGTCATGGACAATTGTCAAGTCAATATTCCACCAAGGATCCAATCATCATGAGGTGACCTAAAAGTGGGTTTTTGTTGAAGTGTTCCTACCATGGTATTGTGACTTTTACTCTTCATCAAGACAGAACTTTCAAAAGTATGGTGCAAAGTAGGGATACATAGTCATCAAGACACCACCTTCAAAGGTATGGTGCAAAGTAGGGATACATAATCATCAAGACACCACCTTCAAAGGTATGGTGCAAAGTAGGGATACATAGTCATCAAGACACCACCTTCAAAGGTATGGTGCAAAGTAGGGATACATAGTCATCAAGACACTACCTTCAAAGGTATGGTGCAAATTAGGGATACATACCATTAAATGACAGCTGAAGAAATTGAGGTTTGTTTCTGATTTCTGAGAAATTCCAGAGAGCAACAGTTAAAGCTGCCATTGCTGTCTGTGTGAGCCCCAGACTCGATGTAACAAAGTAAACTTCGAGGCAGGAGTCACACGAGAGAGATGCCAACAGCTGCTGCTCACACGCACTTTGCACACTAATGAACTGAGGAAAAAGACTCACTGTTAAGAGCAGTACTTGTGACGCTGAAAATAGCGCTTTGAATATGTAGATCATTTAGCACTCACAGCAACAAAAATATATAAAGTCTCTCTCCTCACTTAGCAACGTACTTGTTTACCAATGATTCGGACTTACGACGGGCTCTGTGAGCAGTGTGCATACCTAAATAATGTATATTAGAGCTGATTGGTAGGGGACCTGAATGCTAAAGTAGGAGAAATTTTTAGAGAGGGTGTGGTAGGTAAGTTTGGGGTGCCAGGTGTAAATAATAATGGGAGCCCTTTGATTGAACTTTGTATAGAAAGGGGTTTGGTTATAGGTAATACATATTTTAAGAAAAAGAGGATAAATAAGTATACAAGATATGATATAGGGCGTAATGACAGTAGTTTGTTGGGCTATGTATTGGTAGATAAAAGACTGTTGAGTAGACTTCAGGATGTACATATTTATAGAGGGGCCACAGATATGTCAGATCACTTTTTAGTTGTAGCTACACTGAGAGTAAAAGGTAGATGGGATACAAGGAGAATAGAAGCATCAGGTAAGAGAGAGGTGAAGGTTTATAAACTAAAAGAGGAGGTAGTTAGGGTAAGATATAAACAACTATTGGAGGATAGATGGGCTAATGAGAGCATAGGCAATGGGGTCGAAAAGGTATGGGGTAGGTTTAAAAATGTAGTGTTAGAGTGTTCAGCAGAAGTTTGTGGTTACAGGAAAGTGGATGCAGGAGGGAAGAGGAGCAATTGGTGGAATGATGATGTAAAGAGAGTAGTAAGGGAGAAAAAGTTAGCATATGAGAAGTTTTTACAAAGTAGAAGTGATGCAAGGAGGGAAGAGTATATGGAGAAAAAGAGAGAGGTTAAGAGAGTGGTGAAGCAATGTAAAAAGAGAGCAAATGAGAGAGTGGGTGAGATGTTATCAACAAATTTTGTTAAAAATAAAAAAAAGTTTTGGAGTGAGATTAACAAGTTAAGGAAGCCTAGAGAACAAATGGATTTGTCAGTTAAAAATAGGAGAGGAGAGTTATTAAATGGAGAGTTAGAGGTATTGGAAAGATGGAGGGAATATTTTGAGGAATTGTTGAATGTTGATGAAGATAGGGAAGCTGTGATTTCATGTATAGGGCAAGGAGGAATAACATCTTGTGGGAGTGAGGAAGAGTCAGTTGTGAGTGTGGGGTAAGTTCGTGAGGCAGTAGGTAAAATGAAAGGGGGTAAGGCAGCTGGGATTGATGGGATAAAGATAGAAACGTTAAAAGCAGGTGAGGATATAATTTTGGAGTGGTTGGTGGTATTATTTAATAAATGTATGGAAGAGGGTAAGGTATCTAGGGATTGGCAGAGAGCATGCATAGTTCCTTTGTATAAAGGCAAAGGGGACAAGAGAGAGTGCAAAAATTATAGGGGAATAAGTCTATTGAGTATACCTGGTAAAGTGTACGATAGAGTTATTATTGAAAGAATTAAGAGTAAGATGGAGAATAGGATAGCAGATGAACAAGGAGGCTTTAGGAAAGGTAGGGGTGTGTGGACCAGGTGTTTACACTGAAACATATAAGTGAACAGTATTTAGATAAGGCTAAAGAGGTCTTTGTGGCATTTATGGATTTGGAAAAGGCATATAACAGGGTGGATAGGGGAGCAATGTGGCAGATGTTGCAGGTGTATGGTGTAGGAGGTAGGTTACTGAAAGCAGTGAAGAGATTTTACGAGGATAGTGAGGCTCAAGTTAGAGTATGTAGGAAAGAGGGTGATTATGTCCCAGTAAAAGTAGGCCTTAGACAAGGATGTGTGATGTCACTGTGGTTGTTTAATATATTTATAGATGGGTTGTAAGAGAAGTAAATGCGAGGGTCTTGGCAAGAGGCGTGGAGTTAAAAGATAAAGAATCACACATAAAGTGGGAGTTGTCACAGTTGCTCTTTGCTGATGACACTGTGCTCTTGGGTGATTCTGAAGAGAAGTTGCAGAGGTTGGTGGATGAATTTGGTAGGGTATGTAAAAGAAGAAAATTGAAAGTGAATACAGGAAAGAGTAAGGTTATGAGGATAACAAAAAGATTAGGTGATGAAAGATTGAATATCAGATTGGAGGGAGAGAGTATGGACGAGGTGAATGTATTCAGATATTTGGGAGTGGACGTGTCAGCGGATGGGTCTATGAAAGATGAGGTGAATCACAGAATTGGTGAGGGAAAAAAGGTGAGTGGTGCACTTAGGAGTCTGTGGAGACAAAGAACTTCGTCCATGGAAGTAAAGAGGGGAATGTATGAGAGTATAGTTTCACCAACGCTCTTATATGGGTGTGAACCATGGGAGATGAATGTTGCAACAAGGAGAAGGTTGGAGGCAGTGAAGATGTCATGTCTGAGGGCAATGTGTGGTGTGAATATAATGCAGAGAATTCATAGTTTGGAAGTTAGGAGGAGGTGCGGGATTGCCAAAACTGTTGTCCAGAGGGCTGAGGAAGGGTTGTTGAGGTGGTTCAGACATGTAGAGAGAATGGAGCGAAACAGAATGACTTCAAGAGTGTATCAGTCTGTAGTGGAAGGAAGGCAGGGTAGGGGTCAGCCTAGGAAAGGTTGGAGGGAGGGAGTAAAGGAGGTTTTGTGTGTGAGAGGTTTGGACTTCCAGCGGGCATGCGTGAGCGTGTTTGATAGGAGTGAATGGAGACAAATGGTTTTAATACTTGATGTGCTGTTGGAGTGTGAGCAAAGTAACATTTATGAAGGGATTCAGGGAAACCGGCAGGCCGGACTTGAGTCCTGGAGATGGGAAGTACAGTGCCTGCACTCTGAAGGAGGGGTGTTAATGTTGCAGTTTAAAAACTGTAGTGTAAAGCACCCTTCTGGCAAGACAGTGATGGAGTGAATGATGGTGAAAGTTTTTCTTTTTCGGGCCACCCTGCCTTGGTGGGAATCGGCCGGTGTGAATAATAAAAATAAATATTAAATAAACGATAAAAGCAGTGTCTCCATGAGAAGTGGAAAAAGAATCCTTCCTCCATAAGCCATGTGCATTGTAACAGGCAACTATAATACCAGGAGCAAAGAGCTAGTAACCCCTTTTCCTGTATAAATTACTAAATGTAAAAAGAAAAGCTTTCATTTTTCTTTTATGCTCTCTCTGCTTCAGTAGGAGATGGCTGGTACATTAAAAAAATAAATAAGAGCAATGATCATAAGCACTCAGCACTGTGACCACAGATAGATATGGGGTCACAGTGGTGGCCCATGCCGCCCTCCCTATGGTGAACAAAAATATACCTTGTTGGATGAATTTTATTAGACCCAGCTGACCAAGTGGTCAACACACTGGGCTATGAGTTTTAGCACCCACTTACCATGGATTCAAACCCCACCTGTTCTGTGATTTGTTTGTAGTCATGTTATGATTTTATGAGTCATGGAATGATTATGTAAAAGCCAATGGAACAATCGTGAACAAAGTATTGGCTCATAAGGTGGAATACTACAAAAAAAAAAAAAAAAAAAAAAAAAAATGAATTCCTATATACAACTTGCTAGGTCATACATAGGCATTTGTTTTGCCAAGCTATTATTCTATTTCTCAGTTGGCTTCAGCCTTCTCCAATTATTTTGGTCAAAAAATAAAGAATGTTTACTGGGCTCGGATTAAACTCAAATACGTGTAGTGTTCTCTGCTACTGTTCCATTTTGTGATGTATCACAGATTTCTTGTTCTCAATTTTCTCAAGTTTACTTGGAGCTTCTGGGGTGTATCAAAAGATTCTAATAAGATATAATGGGCATAAGATCCAATAAATATCTGAAATATTTTGCCTGTACAGGAAGGCCTTACTTATATAGCAGGTTAGGTTCCAGGCTATCTCTGTCAAGCAAAAATTGCTGTAAATTGAAACATAGCCCTTTTGTTCACTTTCAAATGCATATAAAAGCCTGATAACATGTCTAACACTATCATATATTAAGTGAGCAATAGAGCTAGGCATAAAAAATGCATATACAGTAAACATACATAGTACAGTGGACCCCCGCTTAACGATCACCTCCGAATGCGACCAATTATGTAAGTGTATTTATGTAAGTGCGTTTGTACGTGTATGTTTGGGGGTCTGAAATGGACTAATCTACTTCACAATATTCCTTATGGGAAAAAATTCGTTCAGTACTGGCACCTGAACATACTACTGGAATGAAAAAAGTTCGTTAACCGGGGGTCCACTGTATATGTGTACTGTACATGAGGTGCCCTGTAGTTTAATTGCTAGCATACTCAGCTCACACACTGAGGTCCGGAGATTAAATCCCTGGTACAGCTGGAAAACATTTGAATGTGTTTCATGAAGACACCTACTGTCCCTGTTCACCAATCAGTATAATGGGTACCTGGGTGTTAGTCGACTAGTCTGGGCTGCATCCTGGGAAAAAATTGACCTAATTTGCCTGAAATGCTCTGCATAACAAGCGGCTTCCTATGTAGTAATATGTCATTAATGTCAGCTAGGTCCGTATACCTCATACATGTACAGTGGACCCCCGGTTTACGATATTATTTCATTCCAGAAGTATGTTCAGGTGCCAGTACTGACCAAATTTGTTCCCATAAGGAATATTGTGAATTAGATTAGTCCATTTCAGACCCCCAAACATACACATACAAACGCACTTACATAAATACACTTACATAATTGGTGGCATTGGGAGCTGATCGTAAACCGGGGGTCCACTGTACTTGTAGAAATAAAGGTAAAAGTATTATTATAGGTATTAGCAAGTGGTGAATATATTTATTGTAGGAAGTCTGAATAAAGAATGGGAACAACTGAAAACTGCTGCATTAGCAAAGCACCGTAAAGAAAAGTGCTGTAAAGTGGGGTCTGCCTGTATTAGATCAATCGTTTGTATACCTTTAATGTCCTTATATAAGCAAGTAAAAATTATTGCCATTGTAGTCATAAGTAAGGCTTAAGTTTGCCCTAAATTCTCTGCCTAACTCCAGGCTTTCTGCATGCACAACCAAACATCACCAATCTATGTATGAACACTGTATCATGTGGAAGACAATGGATGGGGATGCCCGGGTGTTGTGCATGTGTCATTTCATCCTGTCGTATTATATACAATTCTTGTACTACTACTACTACTACTACTACTACCTCCACCTCTTCCTGCCTATATATAGCCGTCCTGCTCCACCTCTGTTAGTGTGACTTTGTCAATGGTCCAAGTCGGACCGAAACGTCGTCGTAAGCTTCTGTCTTTTATGTGCGGGTTATTTGTGTATCGTTCCAGTCACGGTATTGTGCCTTTTTGTTATTTATTAATGGAGCTCAAAGTTTATCGCCTACACTAGTCATTAAGGCTGACTAGTGTAGACGAGAATATTTTAATCCCTAGAGTAAGGATTAAAATAAACTTTCAACATATATAGCCTCTCCTCACTTAACGACCGAGATAGGGATCTAAGGTCCCCGTTGGTAAACGAATTCGTCGCTAAACAAGGACCATACTATAATGCTAGTGGATTTGTATCAACCATCTTTGATATTGTTTTTGTCACCTTTGCACCATTTGTAACATTTCTGGTATACAGTGGACCCTCGGTTAACGATATTTTTTCACTCCAGAAGTATGTTCAGGTGCCAGTACTGACCGAATTTGTTCCCATAAGGAATATTGTGAAGTAGATTAGTCCATTTCAGACCCCCAAACATACACGTACAAACGCACTTACATAAATACACTTACATAATTGGTCGCATTCGGAGGTAATCGTTATGCGGGGGTCCACTGTATTTTTAAATGTTTATACAGCAGTGTACTGTACGTTGTAATGAACAGAAATGAGGAAATCAGCACTAATATACATTACAGTATTTAGGTATAAATACTGGTCAGAGAGCCCGTCGTAAGTCCAAGGCGTTGGTAAACGAGTATGTCGCTAAGTGAGGAGAGACTGTATACACTAAGATAAATACACCTTGAATATAATGAACCCTGGTATCATTCCTGAAATAACAGACAAAATCTACTGGGTAAATTGTACTTTCAGCTCCATTATACCTATAAATCATGTGTGTACAGTAATATAGGCATACATCAGTGAACTTTAGTGCTTGTGTGCCACTGTTCAGCACTTAAAGGGTCGGATCCCCTGATCTGAGAACTGATCTCAGGGTCAGAGACTTTTCAAAAAAAAAATTATTTTTTCTTGTGAAATGATAGAGAATCTTTTTCTAAGGGTAATGAAACCAAAAGTATGAAATTTGATGGAAAACGTATGGAATTACACTCTCGCAAACTTAGCAGTCTCAGCAATATTTAAGCATCAGACATTCCTGGCACCATAAATACATTTCCTCTGTTCATTATTTATGTCCCCAGACCTCTCCTATATTATGCTTGCTTTCCATTTTGAATTTTTATTCACAGAAGATTTACTGTTATGCAGACTACTGCATTATTGCAATAATTCTATAAATAGTGTGAGTGCATTCCTAAATGTGTATTAGACTGACCAGTTGGGCATGTACTGGATTAGTGATGTCATTTGTGTACTCTGGAACATCGGCAAAAATCAAACATTCTGCTAATATGAGCTCAATTTCAAGCTACTTTCAGTTGTGAAACCAATCAAAATAATCTCTGTTTCTGTAAAACATCTTCTATTCTATAAAAGAAGACCAAGAAACTGAGAATACAACCATAAAAACCATATGAAAATGTACAGCAAAGTCGCTGTTTTAAACCAAAAACACGGTCGCAATCTTTTTTCCCGTCATGCACTGCGTGAGGCAGGTCTTCTTTTTATATGGTACACACTCACCACACAGACCCATTATTTCTTATCTATGCCAAAATTTACCACTCAGTGTTTATCTGAGTGAGCTGAGCTCATGGCATAGTACTATGGCACCGACCCTTCACTTCAAAGCTGTAGCCCTATGGCACCTATCTGCAAAAGGTTAATAATATTCTGATTTAACTGACGCTCAGACAATCTCCTATTATTCTGTTATGTTGCCTTACTGTGCAGGGGTAATCCATCAGGAAGGAGTTGCACCGAATGTTCACCCACCTTAAAATGGGCTTAGCGAATAAAAATAATAATACACAGTCTTTAAGCACTGCAATGGTTTTAATAAAAGTGCATGAGGTAAGACTTACTTGAAGCATAGCTGCAGTCTCCAGCAGAGCAAGAACACTGTCAGATGGGATGGTGTAATTTCCACACTTCACATGCTGAATCAACATCAGCAGACACTCAGCATCAATATCCTACAAGAATAAAAAAATCACACCATCAACATCCTGGAAGAATATAAAGTCACAGCATCAACAACTTGGTATAAAAAGTCAGTGTCAACATCTTAGAACAATAAATCACAACATCAATATCCTGAAAGAATAGTCACAGCATCAATATCTGGGAAGAATTATAAAATCACAGCATCAATATCTTGAAAGAATAAAGTCACACCATCAATATCTTGGAAGAATAAAGTCATAATAATATTGCTGGAACAGTTTGCAAATAACCGGCACTTAGAAGAACGTGCTGATGACATTTCGGTCTGTTATGGATCGTTAAGTAACTTTAGATGTGACTTAACAATGGTCCAAGATGAACCATAACACCGTCATAAGTGATTCCACCCTCAGCCTAGCTATCTGGCTACCAGACGGAGGATCAAGCATCAACTACTCCTTGAATGACCCACATGGGTTTAGCACTTCCCATAAATAAATTAAAAACGAATTCCTCTCCTAGGTGCAGATAATTTGTGTAATATCAAGGGAATATGGAATGCATTACAAGACGAAACAAGATGTCTGATATTTAATAACAGAAATACACTCCAGAAATAGGAAAGAGGTTGGCATAAGCTTTCTGCATTAATGGGTCTCACCATCAATTCCAGATATGAAATAAAATAATTATAGGCAACAATGATTATAAGTTTGGTGGTGAAGAAAGGATTGCAGAGTGACTTTATTGAGATGTTCTACCTATGGAACGTTCTTCTTCAATCTCAAAAAGCCTGTTCCACTGGTAAAACACCTTAATGGAACAGCTTCTTCAATCTCAAAAAGCCTGTTCCACTGGTAAAACACCTTAATGGAACAGCTTCTTCAATCTCAAAAAGCCTGTTCCACTGGTAAAACACCTTAATGGAACAGCTTCTTCAATCTCAAAAAGCCTGTTCCACTGGTAAAACACCTTAATGGAACATTCTTCTTCAATCTCAAAAAGCCTGTTCCACTGGTAAAACACCTTAATGGAACAGCTTCTTCAATCTTGATAAGCCTGTTCCACAAGCAAAACTTTTCAATGGAACAGACTTCTTCAATCTCATGATGCCTGTTCCACAGAAAAAAACATCTCAATGGAACAGTCTTCTTTAATCTCAAAAAGCCTGTTCCATAGACAAAATATCTCAATATAGGTTCTTCTCTGCAAATTTGTCTGTCAATTAGTTTCATCTTTGTTCCATTGAGGATATAACAAGAAAAGGGTCCCCATAAACCATACCACGGGCGAGGATAGAACCTGCGATCAGAGTCTCAAAACTCTCTGATAGCGAGTTCTATCCTCGCCCGTGGTATGGTTTGTTTGCAATCGTGTCATTACGATTTCATGAGTCAAAGGGTCCCCATAAAATGGTCAAATAATATATCACAAAACCCCATCCTATCTCCACACTTACATGTTACTAAAGCATTGACAAGCTTAATATAAAGTGAGATAAGCTATAGTACAGTAAATCCTCAATTTAATGGACTAATAGAAGGAAGCGGATAGTTACTAATGGCAACTGTGGTAGACAGGAATGTGATTATTTGCTGTGATTGTAACTAATGTAAATTTCTGTAACCAGCCACTCTAACCACCCATTTATGAATTAATTAACTGATCCAGCATATTTTGTCCCATATACACCTGATCGTACTGAAATAAAAATTTTGGCTGAAAATTATATTAGCAATCTTGAAATGTACAACAAATATATATTGCACCTTATTCTAAATTATAAATATAATTTCTTATCATTAGTAACCCCTTCTCCTGTATAAATTACTAAATGTAGAGAAAGTTTTATGGTGAAAAAAATATCCTATCAGTTATTACAGAATATTTTCTATTAGGTACCTTAAGTTCTATGGTGTTCTTTCCATTTTCAGTAAAGTTGTTGGAGAACATGGCTCTGAAGTAGTCGCTGGAAGCTATCAGCTTAGCCTTGCAACACACAAATTGTTGCCCTTCAGCAACCAAGGTGATGTCGTCTTCATGCATGGGCTCTCGTGCCTTGTCAGCCATTACCTTAAACCAAACTGCTGGTTGAATGTCATATCGCTTTATACACAAATAACCTGCACATAAAAGAGAGAAGCTTACGACGACGTTTTGGTCCGACTTGGACCATTGACAAAGTCACACTAACCAGAGGTGGAGCAGGATGGCTATATATAGGCAGGAAGTGGTGGTGGTAGTAGTAGTAGTACAAGATGAAATTAAGACACATGCGCAACACCCGGGCATCCCCATCATAGACGCTTCGCCATCCAGCCAGCCACTGGATGGCGAAACGTCCACAACAAAGACAACCAGACGCCACACATGTGTCTTAATTCCATCAGTAGTTGTAGTGGTAGAAGTAGTAGTGCTAGTGGTAGAAATGGGAAATAAGGAGGACGAGCCAGTCAAATACAAAGGAAGGGGAGCACTGCAAGAGAGCTAGGTGCCCACTGAGGGAGAGCAAGCGCACAGAGGTGCGTGAAAGGGGAAGTGGTGAAATAAATGAAGAAGGAACAGAAACACGAGACAGAAGAGAGAAAGACAACCCAGAGGAGAAAAGGAAAGAGGAAAGGGGAAGAGGGAGAAGAAAGAAAAGAAAAAGAAAAAATGAGGAGTCAGGTTAAGTCACGGGTGTTCTGAAGTTTGGAGCATTTTACAATGTCGTGGGAGAGGAAGGCATCTACAGAGACGAAGCCAGGGCTAACGTTCATACAAGGAAAGTTGTGTATTAGAGAGGATTCAACTAGACGGCGACTGTTAAAGTTGGAAGTAGGTAAGACAGTTTTAGCAGAAGACCAGTCAATAGGATGGCTATGATCTCTGACGTGACAGAAAAGAGCATTGTTAGTGTCGGCAAACCTAACACTATTTTTGTGCTCCCTAAGTCTGTCAGAAAGAGATCGACCAGTTTCTCCGAAGTACTATTGAAGAGGACAGGAGGAGCAAGAAATAGAGTAGACACCAGGAACATCTGTAGAGGGAGGAGAGGTATGCACGAGATTAGTGCGAAGAGTGTTAGTCTGGCGGAAGGTAAGCTTGATGTCTAAGGGATGGAGAGAATTGTTGAGATTAGAAAGGCCGGAAATGTAGGGAAGGCAGAGGATAGAAGAGTTCCCAGGAGTAGAAAGTTTGGGAGAGAAGAAATTGCATTTAGCACGTGAGAGGGCAGAGTCTATGAAATGGGAAGGGTAGCTAAGACGGGAAAACGAATTATGAAGAGCGGAAATTTCTGCTGGAAGGAACTGAGGATCACAGATGCAGAGGGATTTGTTGGGATGATTAATTCAGAGTGTTAGGCACCCAGGATAACCCAAGAAAGTCAGTGCAAATCAAGTACTGTCTGTCTTAGTTATGATGGGGTTCTTCAATCTTGTACCCCAGGTTGCCACCCACACCAGTCAATATCTGGGTACCTACTTACTTCTAGGTGAACAGGAACAGGTGTAAGGTGACCAACACCCAGGTACCTACATACTGCTAGATGAACATTGACAGCAATTGTAAGGAAAAATGCCTAGCGTTTCCACCCACACTGGGGATTGAATCACAGACAATCATTGTGTGAGGCGAGTGCGCTGCCAACCAAGCCACGGGAAAGCAAGTCATAGTTTTCATACCAGAAGACTATTTATATTTTATTCTTAACATAGCTCAATTACAAAGCTGCTCTATATATTTATAGTTTGATTTTTCTGCAAATGCAATGAAAAAACACATCCAAAATTTAATATGGAATGAAATGCTCATAGCCTGACTGAGATTAGTACAGCCACCATGAGTCTGGTATACAGCTGCATCATACAGCTCACAACACTTGTAGTAGACTTCAGATTCAGATTCAGATTATTCCAGCATAATACAATGTTTGTACAGTGATGGGTGACATTTAGGTGTGCATGCTGAAAGCATATCAGGCAAACTTAAGACTAATAAGGCAGCAACTAATTGATTGCTTATACATATATATAGTCTCTTAAGTGATTGTAACAAATTTAGGAAGTACAAGGAACATATGAGAATTGAATAGCGTATTAATATATGTTACATAACATCTATCGAGTTTGTCTTAAAAAGCACAGTTGAACAGCACAATTTCGTTAATTTTATGACCTTAAAAATACTGCATGATCAAGCAATCAAAAGTACAGTCACTTTGACTTGTTTTTGGGGGTATCTTAGGTGATTTACACATGCCTGGAGTTTACCTGGAGAGAGTTCCAGGGGTCAACGCCCCCGCGGCCCGGTCTGTGACCAGGCCTCCTGGTGGATCAGAGCCTGATCAACCAGGCTGTTACTGCTGGCTGCACGCAATCCAATGTACGAGCCACAGCCCGGCTGGTCAGGTACCGACTTGAGGTGCTTGTCCAGTGCCAGCTTGAAGACTGCCAGGGGTCTATTGGTAATCCCCCTTATGTATGTTGCTATATATGATAATTATGTGTATCTGTACGTAAATAAACTTGCTTTATACTTGCTTCCTTACTAACTCACTTACCCTGTTTTACTTACTTGATCCAAATTTTTTCACTGAAGGTTTCCAAAAACTACACCATATCTTTGTGAAAAATTATTTTAAACTCACACATGTTTAATTAATGTTTGGGATGTTGGTTTTACAGGAAAATATTGTAGTGGCTTCATGAAAACTTGTGCTTAAATGAAGCCAGCTTGTGTCTTTACCAACCCAGCTTTTAAATAGGGTGTAAGTTTATTTAGGTACAGGTTCACATAAGTACAATTATCATACATAGTAACCTATGATCTCCATGGGGAAGTGGAACAGAATTCTTCCTCTGTAAGTCATGCGTGTTGTAAGAGGCGCCTAAAATGCCGGGAGCAAGGGGCTAGAAACCCCCTTTTTCCTGTAAAAATTTAAATTAAATTTAAAGAAAAAATTTCGTTTTTTTTTTTTGGGCCCCCTTTGCCTTGGTGGGTTTCCCGGCGGTGTTTTTGAAAGAAAGAAAGAAGTAACCTATGTTTTAAATTTAAACCTAGGATAACACAAAAAAAACTCAAAGGGGGAACTTATTTCCCTTGGGGGGTGTCATGGCTTGGTGACAGGGTGGTTTTTGGTTGGGTTTGTTAGGGTGTTGTGGCTTGATCAACGGGGTGCTCATGGCTTGGTGGGACGGGGGTGCTCGTAGCTTGATAAAACGGGGGTTGCTCGTGGCTTGGTTGACAGGGGCTTCTAGTTGATAAAACGGGGGTGCTGTGGCTTGGTTGACAGGGTGCTCATGTAGACACCCTTTTTATGTCAGAACAAACCCTGGGCCGCTGCTCGGGGGGACTAGCTATTTTTCGGGGCCCATTTAGGTGCTACCCTCTTTTGGCTCAATCAGGTCAGGGGGAGGCTGACCCCATCGCCCACCCCTTAGGCCCGCCCCGACTTGTTGGGGGGGGGAAAAACCCCCAATTGGCTCCCCTCCACGGACTGGCTTGCGGTCCTCCCTAACACTGCCCGTTGTGTACTCATCCTACCCTTTAAAGCCAAACTAGTCCACGGCCGTATCATTGCTACCTACGTACCCTTCATCGGCACAAAACCGCTGTTCAGCAGTAAGAAAAGCAATAACATCATGGCTTGACAAAAAGGGTGCTGGGTGGCTTGGTTGACGGGGGTGGGCAGGGCTTGGTTGACGGGTGCAGGGGGTTTGGGGTTAAACGGGGTGCTTGAAAGCTTGATCAACAGGGCGCTCGGGGCCCTTGGGTTTGGGACAGGGTGCTCGTTGCTTGATCAACGGGGTTTTGTCGGGGCCCTTGGTTAAAGGGGTGCTTGTGGTTTGGGTTAAACAGGGTGCTTGTGGTTTTGATCAATAGGGTTTCCTTGTGGCTTGGTTGACAGGGTGTTGGGGTTTGTTTTAAACATGGTGCTAAGGGCCCTTGGGTTGACGGGGTTTGCTGTGGCTTGGTTGACAGGGGGCTTGTAGTTGATAAAACCAGGGTCCCCAAATGGCTTGGGTTTTGAAAAGGGTTTGCTTGTGGCTTGATCAACATTGTGTCGTGGTTTGGGTTTGGGAAAGGGTGCTTGTGGCTTGGTTGAAGGGTGTTGTGGTTTGGGATAAAAAGGGGGGCTGGGGGCTTGGTTGACGGGGGTGCTTGTGGCTTGATCAACAGGGTGCACATGGTTGGTTGACAGGGTGCTTGTAGCTTAAATCAAAGGGGTTGCTCGTGGTTTGGGGTTGACGGGGGTGTTGGGGCTTGACAACGGGTTGTTCGTGGTTTGGTTGACAGGGTGTGCAGGGTTTTTGGTTGACGGGGTCCCACATGGCTTGGGTGATAAGGGGGGGCTTGTAGCTTGACCCAAGGGGGCCCGTGGCTTGGTTGACAGGGTGCTTTTGGTTGATCAACAGGGTGCTCGTTGGGTTGACTGACAGGGTGACATGGCTTGGTTGACAGGGTTTGCAGTGGCTTGGTTGACAGGGTGCTTGTAGTTTGGGTTTAAACAAAGGGTCCCGGGTTTGGGTTTGACGGGGTTTGTTTTGTGGTTGATCAACGGGGTGTCTTTGGTTGGTTGACAGGGTGTTTGGTGGTTTGGGATCAACAGGGTTTTCATGGCGGGTTGCAGGGTGTGCAGGGTTTTTTGGGTTGGGCAGGGTGCACTTTGTTGGTTGCAGGGTGCTTTTAGCTTGATCAACAGGGTGCTCGTGGCTTGGTTGACAGGGTGTGCAGGGTTGGTTGACAGGGGTGAGTGGTTTTGGGTTGACGGGTGCTTGTATTTTTGTTTAAACCGGGGTTCTCTTGGCTTGGTTGACGGGGTTGCTTGTGGCTTGACACAGGGTGCTCGTGGTTTGGGGTTGACAGGGTGCTTGTGACTTGATCAACAGGGGTTTCGTGGTTGGGTTTGCAGGGTGCTTGTGGCTTAAATAAAACAGGGTTTCGTGGCTTGGTTAAACCGGGTGCGCATGGTTTGGTTGAAGGGGGGCCCCAGGGCCCTTGGTTACAGGGTGCAGTGGTTTGGTTGACGGGTTTGTTGTAGCTTGATAAACAGGGTGCCCCGTGGTTGGTTGAAAGGGGGTGCTTGTGGC